TACTTGCAGCCAGTTGAGACAGAAGATAGACATCTGGCCACTTAAAACTATCTGGACCAATGCCATATTCATACATGCTAAAGAGTACACATGGCAGGTTAATAAATTAATAATCACTATACCAGTCTGGTCTACACTGAAAACTGACCTAAACGATATAACATTTCAATTCCCTTCCTTATGCAAGAGCTTCAGCTATCCTTCAATTAGGTTCAAACATATTCTAGATAGGTAAGTAGCTTTATTCCCTCATTCAAATGATAATCATTTAGCACTTACTACATGCAAAGTGCTGTTCAAAGAACTATGGTAAATATAAAAAAATTAATCAGTCATGAATAACGTCATGAAGAGCACATGCCTAATAGAAGAGATAACAGAAGATATATGCATAAATAACTAAAGAAGCTAAAAATCTAAAGAGATACAACTGAAAAACTATAAATGTTCAAAGAGAAGGAAATAAAAAAATCAGAAAGAAGATTCAACCACTTGAGGGTTCCTATTTGACATAAAACACAAATGTCAGTTTGGTCTTCCAGTTTCCGATTCTTTTCTTAACAAGCTACTCTCACTTAACAAGCCTTTCACTACCAACACAACTTTTTTTTGGCTAAACTCTCAAAGTTTAGAGTCAGTTACCTAATTCTTCATCACAATTTTATTCCACTTACGCATTACAAAGAACAAAATCTTTTTACTCAAATCTGGAAAATTGACATCACACATAGAAAACTAATAACCTGGTCTGGCAGATTTTTAACTAGAAATAAAAATTAGAGAATAGTGTCTACCAGAAGCAAAAATTTGTATTTCCCAGTTCCACATCCACTTAAATCTCCAAGAAGATCCATGGGTGCAATAACTATGATAGTAAGATTCAGAAAGGAGTTTCTAGTTAAATGAAATAATCATGTTCAGTTGTGCTTCTAAACCAGTCACAAGATCTGAAACTACTCCACTCCTTCTCACTTTCCCTAAACTTAGATGCCTTCATACTTCTGTCAAAAATAACTGGGATTTGGCTTACATTTATATGACTACCAGGAAACTCTAACACAAACTCTAGAAAATACACAAAATATACAAAGTTTTGCAATAAGAGTCTGAAGGGAAAGGCAGAAGGAAAGAAATCAGACTTTGGTTTTCAGGTAAAAATGTTAATTGTCATCAATTAGACCATCTTAGTTCCACCAACAGAAATGAGAAAAAAAAAAAAATCTAAACAGTAACAATAGCTTTGCACTTTAACTAATCAAGATAGAAAAATGGAAAAGGGAAAAAAAGAAATTAATAGGTCTTCATTCATCATTCCCTTTAGCAGATCATATAATTCCTTACACTAGTCTTAAAACATTTATGTGTTGCATGAACACTGTAACAAGCATTTATCCCAAATATTATTTCTCTTTATAGAAATAAGATAAATATTATAATAAGAATTTAAGCTCCATGAAGGCAGGGTATTTTGTCTGTTCAACTCACTGATTTATCTACAAATGAACTGAACACACAGAAGGTTCTCAATAAATATCTCCAGCTCAACTGTGTTTAAAACACAAAAGGCTCTCAAATATTTGCTGTAAGAATTAATGAAAGTCAGAATAAATTTTGTGACTACTATGTCTAAGAATTGTGATATCATGTCAGAGGGGAAAGAAAGTAGCAGCATTTAACTAGATTAAAATGACATTCCTCTCATTTTTCTTATCATAGAGAAAAAGTGATTTCAATACACCAGCAATTAACAAGTTACCACGTAGGTATATGATTTCATGTAAGAAGTTTTTTTCTGGCACTACATATTCTATCTAGTATCATTAAACATAAAAACTAGGTAAATAATTAGGAAGTAAAACTGAAGAAACGTTTATAAAATGCATTCATTACGGAATCACTTCTCTGCAATTTCCCCAACTTTGTTCATCTGTCAAGAACTAAGATTTCTCTTTATCAATTTTCTATTACTATTAAATTGTTTTACAAATGAATATATGAAACCATTAATATTATCAAGTGTTAGACAGATGTTAAAAAAGTAATAAAGTGGGTTTTGAATTTTTTTTCAGAAGCAAAAAAAGATTTTACTTCTCTTTGTTTATATTTCATCTCCCATCATATCACTTTGATCTCTGTCTCTCTCAAAATATTATAACTTCTTGAAAGCAATGATTATCTACCTGTTGAATTACATTTCTCCCTGCCTACACAAAATAGATTCCTATTAAAATTCTCTAAGGCCTTATTTAACAAAAATCAATCACAAATAGAACCTACTGTAATAGAACCTACAATAAAATCTTGGCTATCCAAAAGTAAAGGCTTAGATTATCTAATGCCATAGACGATGCAAAAATATTTCTCTTTAACTGTATTGTATTCTCATACTTGCATTTGACTATGGTTATATGAAAGCTTCAGAGTCTTAGAGGAAATGTACTCTATGAATTATCAGAAACAGTTGTTACAGTATCAGAGTTACCTAATTTATTTAATGATTAACTACTTTAATGATGAAGAAAGAAAGTAACCCAGGCTTTTGAAAGATCCAGAAGGAGATTAAGATCACCAAAATGGTCCAAAAAGAAAGGCTGTGCTTCCTCTACCAAAGTACAGCCTGGGAATACAAAGTGGTTAGCTCTTTCTGTCAATCAGAAAATCAGCACTGGTGTGGTTTTCACATATAGCTCTAATTGCTTCTCATTTCTCTTCAATTATTTGATAACTAAAGTTTACACAGGAAAAAACAAAACAAAACAGGACCATCTCAGTAGATGGACCTTTTTCAGGAAAACCTATGATACCATACAGAAAGGTCTGCTTAAGATCAGAATATAGCAAAAATGTACAATTAGACATGGATTTAAATATTTAAAGGCATTAGAAATTTACATATAAATTTCAATAAAATAAAATGTATAATTACCGAATTTAGTCGGACTAAGTTTAACGTAGTTAGCTAAGCTCTTTGAAACTGATTTTCTAAGGTGTTAAATCCAAGTAACTTCTAAGAAATGAAATTATAAGAAATGAAAATTCAGCTCTTCAACTAGTGACAGTATCTTCAGAAAAAGTAGGAAGTCAATAGGAAAAGAGCCGCTTATGCCCAGAGACTTTTAAGTCTCTTAAAAGGTAAAGTTTTATATATTGAAGACTACGTTATTGAATAAACACATTCCATATTTAAAACTGTCCACTGAAGCCAGTATCTCCTATTTGTGCACCAGTTATCACCTAACGGATTTCCTTCTTGTTTAAAAATGATTGAATAGTTTTAACCCTGATGTTGGTGGCTAAGAGCAAAAAATAAGAGATTTGCCCTGAATTTTACTGGACTGCACTTAAACATTAAAAAATCTGCAAGAATAGCACACCTCTCAAAGACGCATCTCTTTGGCTGACTTTTTTTTTTTTTTTTAAATGTTTTTATTTATTTCTCTTTGGCTGACTTTAATATACCCCTCCCACGTTTGAATTCCATACCACTATCCATAAAGATCATTCCAGACTACTACTCTGTCACTTATATGGGCAATCTGAAAACTCCACTCAAATCACAACTGTGACACACCCCCCTGTCCTCCACAAATTCTAATCTACTCTCCCCCTCTAGTCCTTCAAAGAATTTCTATGATTACAAACCTGTATACATGCACACATTCTTCAAATCCCAGCTCTGCCTGCCACATACAAGACTGTAACCTTGGACAAGTTACAAAGCTTTCTGTGTCTCAGTTTCCTCATCCATGAAATGGGAATAATAACAGTACCTACCTCATAGGATTGCGATGAAAATGAAATAAGTTAATATTCGTAAATCTTTTAGAACACTGACACATAGCGTTTGCTATTATTGTTAATATTTTCAACACCACTTAAAACTTACGTTTTCATACCATTAAATCTGAAGACATCATAAAAACAAATATCACTCATTTCACAGCAATTCAAATCCTACTCAAAAGACTCCTAGAGACACACAGAGAGACAGACACATACAGCCACATATACACACACGTATGCTAACTTCCATCGCACAGTACACCTACATCTTTGGGGAACAAACTTCCACCTGCTAAGAGCTACTTACTGTGTAGAAATAAAAGTATACACAAAATGAGTAATTCAAGCAGCAGTGAGTCAATAGCAAGCACAAAAATAACAATCTGCCTGCTTCTTTTAACAAGCAGAGGGTTGAAAGGCAAAAAATTATTTTCAAGGCATCATGTCTTCTTGAATACACTTTGAATCTGCAACAACTCTGAAAAGCAACTTACTCCCCTCCTAGACCACTCCATTTACCAAAGGAAAAATGCTTAATTGAGGTTAGAAAAAAAGTTGTTTTTCATATCACTCACTAAAAGTAGTAAAATTATGCCAGATTTTCATTATTTTATAAATACCACATATTTAAAAGTACTACTTAACTTTTTGTTTACTCGATAGGGGAATAAATCCCAAACATAGATTTTCTTCAGATTCTCAATGGCCAATGATCTCTTTCAAAAATAACTTGAAGAAAGACTACTCTAAGCAAAAAAGATTAGATTCTATGCTGAGAGTTCCTCTAAATTCAGCACCATTTATAATATGCCTTCCCTGAAAATGCAGCCCATTTTCCAAGCAGCTAAATGGTTTTTTCTACCATAAGAAATATCCCTTACCAATTATAGATAATACTAGAAAAATAAATAAGTAAATAAGCAATTGTCCTAAGTTTGAAATAAAAATTAAGTTTCTGTTTCATATTCTGTTATTGAAGAAGTAAAAGAAAAGACATACTTTTAATTCATATCCTGTGCAACATTCAAAGCTTAAATTTTGTTTTTGATACTCAAAGTAACACGTGTATTTACAACTACAGATTATCCCCAAATGCACAGTCGTACAGGTACCCCACAAAATTTAAACAGACAAAAAACTAAAACAAACAAACAAAAAACCTAGAAAACACGTTAATTTTTGCTTAGAAACCAGAATCATGGCATTCTTATTGTTACCTTTTAAATGCTTCAGCTGGGTTCCTTTCACATTCTCCAGGCTGTAACAGGCTTTGGACTGCTGGATCCCTTAGCTTGTCCTCATATCCTTGGAGTAGTCCACTGCGGCAGATCTGGGCAACTAGACCTCTAATAAACCCTCCAACACACAAAGTATCAGAGTCCTGGGCTTTGCAGAAATGAAAGGCCAAAGCCTGGCGATGTAAACCTCTCTGCAAGCTCGTAGGTGAACTTGGCCACAACAGCTCAGTACATAGGGCTGTCTTGCCACTGCCAGGCCCTCCTACCAACAGCACACCCCAGGCAGCTCCTTTTCCAGAGACAACACTAGCATTATTCCCAGAATTCATTACAAGGGATGGTGTGTTGACAGCACTATTGCAGCAGTTAGTTTTCTCCTGGAGGCAATGCTGAAGCTTGTGGAAAACCCACTCCCTACAGTAAAACTGCTTCCCCTGCAGTAAACTCGTTTGAGCCATTTTGCAGACTTTCTCTTCCCAAGGATTAGTCATAATAGGTTTCTTATCTTCAACATTTGCTAGATCCTGGATACGTCAACACAGGTCTTTACATCCATTAGGACATAACTTGCATATTAAGTTGACTCTGAATGATACAGTAACCAGTTACAGTAAAACTCAACAGCCAGAGATGCCATTTGCCAATCGAATGTGCATGACTTTATTTAGCTCTTTACTCTTGATTATCAGCAGAAAATATATTAGTTTAATTGTTGAACTGGTGGAAAATTGCCTGGTTCCAAAGCGTGGCAATACTTTTCCTAAATCTTGATGGGTCACATAACTCCATGGTTATATCTGGAGTTTATGTGATTGTGGATGTTTCAAGTGTGCAGATGAGACAATACATCTGGAAAACTAAAGATAATGCCCAATCTTTCAATGTGTACAAAATGCTTCTCCAGATTCCAAGTGTTAATTCTGTATCTGAAAATTAGATGCAGAAAAGATGTCCATTACAGTAAATGCCATCAAAGCGATCCCACGTATACGGTTGATAGGTAGCTCTGTATTTCTTGTTGAAGGATAGTCACTCAAAGTACTAGACCTTGCCATTTTCAGGCATCTGGGCAACTGCCAGGGAGGGAACTGTTTTAGATTAGGGTCTTTTATGTGGCAGAAAGGACAGGCCACTGTTAACACATCCTTAATCCAAAGTATTGATAAAATGCCATTTTGTTGGAGTGTTGATTCTTAATGAACCTGTTCACAGGTTCCTAGCTTTAAGATATCTGGGAAATCAACAATTTCTACAAGTAACTAAAATAAAACAAAAATATCTTAGTGCATAATATTATATGTTAAGAGCTTACTTACTTAAAAGCTTACAAAAGGATATAATTTCCCAGTTAAAATAATCTCAAAAACCCATATACTTTAAGAAAATCCATATACTTCATCTTTGGCACTTTAAAAAAGTTGGACAATTACCCCCAGAATCATAATTCCACTTTCCTTTCTGTATTTTACTTTGTCTACGGTTATGCTTCCCAAGCAGCTACATTTTAATCCAGTTACCCTGGATTTTTTAAAAAGGCTTTATGCACACACAGTAACATCCTTAACTCTAGCCAAAAAGGTCTTTCCGACAAGCTTGGTAGAACAGCGCCAGTTAAAGGAAGCTCTATTAAATTGCACAGTCCAGCCAGTCAAGGACTCTGTTTACTCGACTAGTCACACTTCTTTGTTGATAGTTTGCAAAATCTAGGGGATGATTACTATGGTTGCGGCTGGATGGGAATGGGTTAAAAAAAAAATAGAGGGGGAGGATGGGAATAATCTTAACACGAATGATAAAGCCAAATACAAGTACAACGTGAATCCTTCCTTCCTCTGCGCCAAAGATAAATGTTTCGGATGGGGGTGAGGAATGGAATCTACTACTGTGGCCGGAGAAAAGGCTGCCGGGGAGAATTCCTTCCGAGACAGAAAAGGGATAAGGAGTAGAATGCTTCAGGGCTGGTGGGTGTTTGCCTACAGTTCCGGCCTCTAGTTTCAGCTGATAGACAAAAGGAACTCCGGGATTCCCAGAGACGGGAACCACCTTCGGTTTGAGCAGCCTCAAGGAGCCACAGGGGGGCCACCTCGGAGAGGCCACGGACGGAGGTGCAGCCTCCACACCGAGGTCTTCCCTTCCAGAAGGCTGGGAACGCCCCAACACCCCGCCCCGCCCCGAGATTTTGGGGTGTGTCTTTTGGAGGGGGAGGGGGTGCCCGACGCCCTTGCCAATCCCAGATGAGGGGTCGCCTTCCAGTAGGCGCCCAGTTCTGCGCCCCCACCCCTCGCGCCGTTCCCGCCCCCACCGGACCCACGGCGGAACGAAGGGGACGGAGACTGCAAAGGGTGGGTGGGTGAGTCAGCCTCGAGCCCAGCCACAGCCCCCGAGCTTCCGACCTGAGAAGGGGCCTCGCTTCTACCGCCGATGCCGCCCCTCGGTTACCTCGGCCCCAGCCGCCGCCGTGGCCGCCGCCGCCGCCGCGGACTCTAAGCCTCAGACACTTGCTCCTCTGAGAATCCGCGGCCGCCAGCGCTCTCGGGACTCCAACTGCAGCCTTCTCCTCCTCCCGGCCTGGGGCACGCTCTCAGCTCCGGATCCTCCTGTTGGCCCCCGGCAACTGCCAGTTCCAGCTGCCCCAGCAGCCTCGGTCGTGCGCCTCCCAACCCCCACCAGCCAACCGCCGCCGCCGCCGCCGTCAGGGCAGTGACTGTCTCAGGCAGCCCGGGACTCGGCCGGCTCCGCCCCGCCCCACTCCGTGGCCCCGCCCTCCAGCCCAGGCCCCGCCCCCACCCGACCGCTCGGCCTTTCTTCGCCCGCCGGCTCCTCCCCTTACTCCTCCCCTCCCCCTGCGCGCCGGCCCGTCGCCGCCGGTGCCTGGGCGTGTGCGGGCGCCTGGACCCGCTGCCCGCCTCGCGGGGGAACCTTTCTGGGGGTGGCTTTCGGGTCCCGCCTTTGTGGGGGGAGGAGAAAGGGGCGGGGGCTGCGTTCTCACGTCCCCGAGCTCACGCGAGTCGCTGCCCCCACCCACCCCGTCACCACTCGGCCCCGAGCCTTTCTTTGTCTTTCAGGCCGAGGACTCGCTGGCTTTGGGGGCCATATCCGCTCCTACGAAGGGCAGTTGAGCTGGGAGAGTTGCCCCTTGCCGCCTTCTTAACCCCCTTGTTCCAAAGACCACTCCAGACCCGTCCTGTTCTTCAGTCGTCTGGGTTCCCTTTCAATCCATTAAATTCCGGTGATGCTTTTACTTTCTCAGCCTGAGACTGAGAGAAGCAAGGAAAGGACTGGGAAGAATATTGTAAGAATAAAAAATAGTGGGGCTGTAGCGCGACATTCCCATCGGCCTCATGAAAAGGACGTGGCCTCCACCAGGTGGAGGTTGAAAGCAGTCATGAATCGGTCTCAGGCTCCTGTCCTTCTGGACACTTGGATGACCCGCAGAGGCCACTCTAAGGGAAAGAGTCCATGGTCGAGGTCAGACTGTAGAATCAGATAAACTGTCCTAGAGGGCCTGACTACAGGCAGTTACTGTTAAACAAGACAGGCCAGTTGTTTGCACTCACTTGGACCTGGGTTATTTAGATTCCAGGTTTCTGCTGGGAAGGTAAATGTACTGTCATCTGACAGAGTAGAAAATGTGCTATCTTTATTATTTTATTATTTATGCTAAAGCCATGAGTTCTCCATCTCCCGTTCTCCATTAATTTCAATGTTTATTTCCTAAATGTTAAACCAGCCTCCCATCTGGTTTTTCTGGAATTGCCAAGTACAGCTATCCCACTTAACTAGAAAAGCATATAACCAAATAGATTGTACTTGTGCTTACCCTTCCGTTCTGTTTATTACTAGCCTATCCCTGGCATTTGAAGCTTGTTTATCTTAACATTTAATTCATTCTTTTGTGACTTCTGAGATTCTTTTCCAAAACACAAGCAAAAAAGGCAGAAGATATAAATTCTCCAGAATTAGAGAGATGAGAATTGATTTTTTTAAAAAACTACAAGTTTGATTTACATTTGCTTAAGCAATTTTAATTACCACTTAGCTTTTTTGCCATGCAGCTTTATAGTCATTGACTCCTTCAATGACATTTCATGGCTGTAATATTACATGTTTAGAGAAAAAATTTAAATAAGTATGTACATTAAACTATCATTTCCATTAAGCTATTTGCTAATACAATAATTAAAATAATTTCTGCCCAATAGAGAAGTTACAGAAACTTAGTTTAGTGGGCTTATTTTTTTAATGATAACTAACCATCTCAGAATGCTGGTTGAAATAGCATCAGCGATAACTGAGCTTTAATTAACCTTCAGACTCATTTAGAATTTTTTTGCTTTAAAGTTTATTTCACATTCCACTTTTATGGCTTTTGGCTTTTCATAATAGAAAAATTCCTGAAGAGCAGGGTCTTTGCCCTACACAGCCTTGCATTCCCAGCACTTAGCAAGGTTCCCTACATGTGAAGCCTGTCTGTTCTTTCATTCTGACAATTACTTATTTATACCATTCCAATGTACCTGGCATTATGCTGTGCTTAGTGGTAGGTTATACACAATTGTGGCAGGATGAACACAGTTTCTTAAAGTCTGGGGGTGTTGTTGAAGGGCAAAGGAAACTTGGGTTTACTTTAGCCTTCCTTTCTTTTCAGAATATCCATTTATCTCCCCAATTTTTGGTATGAAGCAATGATGTTTTCTGTTTCTTCCACCTCCTCTAGACCGTATTTCTGCCTTCAAATCTCTCTCACCAAAATCCTGAAATCTCCATTTTTTGGGAAAAAAACACATATTCATGTATAGTAGACATGTATTTAGACATATATTAGACATGTGTACATGTATATATCTAATATGTGTCAGAGAATCCCAAGCAGGATTTGGGATTTGTCAGTGCAGAGGCTGACCTGGAGCTTGATCTCACAAACTGAGAGATCATGACCTGAACCAAAAGCAAGTGTTGGACACTTAACCAACTGAGCTACCCAGGCACCCCAATGACTTTTTTTTTTTAATTTTCTCTGTAAGTGCTGAGGTACCTAGTAAGTTTAAAGCAAACTCTAATAAATAAAATATATTCTCAATTTAAAAATCTTTATGTTGAAATGTGCAAAGTTTTCAACCCAAATCTTTCACAGAATCTTTTAACCTCACTCAAAGTAACATCATTCAAGAAACATTTTTACAAGACAAAGCTCATCATGTACATTCTCTTTATGTTTATTTTGATAGTTTCAACTAAATTTAGATACTGCAAAATTATAGGTCTTCTCAATTTTTGATTTATTTATTTTGATTTACTTGTTTTGAGAGAGAGAGAGAGAGTGTGCACACATGCCCGGGGGAGGGGTAGAGAGAGAGGGAGAGAGAGAATCCCAAGCAGTCTCTGTGCTATCAGCGTGGAGCCCAATTCTGGCTCAATCTCATGAACTGAGAAATCACGACCTGGGCCCAAATCAAGAGTGGGATACTTACCTGACTGAGCCCCCGGGGTG